CCTGTTTAAAAATTAAAGCATATTTAACCTTTACAAAAAATTATCAAGGTCTTTATTCATACTTTTATTATTTAATTATATATACTTGCTACTTTGAATTTAATGTTATGAAATTTAGCTAATGATAAATACATATTTGGAATAGCTTTTAACATAGTCGCGTATATTCTACATAGACTCCAACTTTAATTACAGAGTAATCATTGTTGGAACATTTTTCAAGAACAAGAGTGAATGAGATTACGAAATTCGCTTTTGAGATACAAAGAAATACAACGATAATACTCACTCTTAGTATTAACGTCAAACAAGAATAAAATTCTCACGAATTGATTTGTGTGTTAAGTGAATGACAAAATGTAGAGAAAAAGTCTCTTGTTTCAATATAGCACAAAATCCCTTTATATAGATGTTGATCAGACATCTTTCAAATCCAAGAGATACATAATTCACTTCTTAACATGTGGACGAAGTAAGTATTTAAGCATAATAAATATAGTTGTAGAAAATATTATTTATATTATTATTCACCAATTCTTATTTGAATAGATTTCAACCATCTAACATAATTACCTGTTTCGAGTTAACCTCTTCTTAACTTAATAACTTAATAACTTAATTGGAGATTATCAATGTTTGGCCGATATGATTTCGTTATGGCCATGTAGGTATCAATCGAATAATACATGCCGCCTCATATATAACCAATATTTATTCAATTATCTTAAAGTATGTAAAATATCCAAAGTTCAAAATAAGTACGAATATTCACGTGAAAGGTAGTTTTTCTAATAGTATGATACAATATATTTTTAGAGCACTTTTAAAAGGTAAGGAAAGCTTATTTTTGTACTGCAGTTAGTGTACATTAACCGCTAAGGAAGAGACATGTTTATTTAGATTGTAGTAATATATACACACACACATTACACTAATGTATTTAAATTGAATTAACAGAATATTATGCATCAGGTTATTTAGTCTAAAATTATTAAAAATAAACAAAAAAATAATAATTTTAATTAGTTAAAATCCTCCGTAAAATCAAATGAAACAATCCTTGTACTATTCAGTTTGACAACATATATGCGCAGAAGAGAAAAGGAAAACGTGCTATGTTTTGGAAACAAATTGCGGAGTTTAAAGCTTGAAGATGAATTAGTGATTGGTCACCGATTTCGTAAGCTTCATCTCTTGAAACAGTAAACGAAGAATTATGTAAAAGGAAGTGAAGATAATACTCAGAATTATGAAGTTGAAAGTTAGTTCACAAAGGAACTACAATCATTCTGAAAAGTACTCTAAGACCCGCCTTTTTGGTAGGTATATGTGTGAAATAGTGTAATGACCTAAGTTGTCTCATTTCTTTATTGCAAAACTTTGGTTCTTTTGATCTTTAACTTACAGTCACTAATTGTTACTTAACTTTTCACCTGCTTTGATTGTTAAAGCAGTAGTCAAAGACTTGAACAGTTAGTCAGATTTAGCCACCCATAATGGTTTTTTCAGTGTCATTACAACTGTGAGACCACACTAAAACTTACCTACTATAACACAATTTCCCTGCTTTCAATTGGATAATCAACCTCTACGAAATGCTGTATATCATTCAACGCGCTATTGCAGCTGTTAGACTAACAAAATATAGATATATACTAAAAAACACCACATATGCCTATATGATGTTTGTTAAAATGAATGAGTTAACTATTTAGACCAACAAATGTGTTTGATAGAACATGAATTTAGTTTCCATGACTAAGACTAATCGATACTTAAATGTTTTTTTATATTTTTGAAGTAAATGATGGTCAAGGAACATAAAGTTTGTAGGGTTCAAATTCCTATATTGTTCTTTTAAGTGACTTAAATTGATCGATGAACGCTTGAAGCTTCTAGTTATCTAATTCAAACTAAGTTCAATCCTTAAATTAAATTTCCTTCAATTAAATATGGTCCAAATCTTTAGCCCAAACATCAATAATAATTTCTTGAAATGTATAAATCTATTATTCTTAAAAACTTACTTTCGATATATTATGCAAGTTTCTCAATATAGAACAAGAATTTCTTGAAGACTTTAAAAATAATAAAACTAATAAGTAAATATCTTTGAAGGTAAATAAATCTAGAATGTTATAATAAGTATAAGAAAAGAAAGAAGAGAACAAAGAAACGATAGAGTGAGAACTCAAAAGGTATTATGTGAAAGGAAGAACTCGAGACTATATTACGTGCGGTTGGAATGATCATAGGACCTTTATTTATAGAGTTTAAAAGATATATGTTGTTGGAAGTCCCACATCGACTAGAGAAAATGTCTATTTATAATATATAAGTGAGGTACAAACCTTACCTTACAAGCCGGTTTTGTAGGATTGAGTTAGACTTAAAAGCTCACTTTCTAATATATGTATCCAGCCCAAAGATCATAACATGAAAAAAAACCCACCATGATGTGCAAAGATATCTCGCGACTGGTGATACAAGCTCAGCAACATCCTCATGTTTCTTATAATTGTAACTTAACCAGTGGTTAGGCTGCCCTTCAAATTATTCATTGTATTAAGTTATCTCATTCATTATTTATTCTTCCTCACTCATTTTGATCTAGGCCTTCAATTATTTTGATTGTGCCTTCATAAAAACATGTACTATGTCACTGGTTATTGCATGTTGCTTGTATTTTTATTTTATATTTATTTTCATTTTATGGAAATCGAAGATACAAGTGACAAATTTCCCAGTGCTTTCTGAAATTGAACATTGAATCGTGGCTACTGTACCACTTGTGAGTAGCAAGTGGTTATTTTTTACCTGTCATTTCACTCCAACTCTTCTCTTTTTATGACAGTCAATTGATGCACAGCGTTGCTTTTCATATAAAACATGTTGAGATGATTGTTGAATATAGTTTAAAAAAAAAAATGAAGGTAGCTCTTTTAACTGCTTTTTTTTACTTCCTAGAACCATCTTGCATATATTTTTTCAATAACTTGTCACAGTTCATATAATTTTTTGTCCAAACCTCTACGTGTACTCTTCAGCTTGAGGGAGGGGTATTATTTTTTTTTCATGTTGTGTGATATATAATCTAAATATTGTTGTTGGATTATCAATCTAAGACAGATCAATTATAAATTTTTTAGTAAATGAATATGTATCAAACAACATAGATAAATTGGTATTTAATCTTCCAATTGTAAAACATCTTAAAATAGAAAAAAAGAAACATTAAAAATTGTACGTGCTTACAAATAGAATCATGATCTGATTATGTAACTTATATTGATTATTTTTTCTTAAATTTCAGTATTTTAATTTGATCAATCAGTAAATTAAAATATTATTTATGCTATTTACATAGTTAATCTTTCATAATATAATATATATATATATATATATA